TTGTTAAATTTATATCCTGTTTTTCCTCTAAAGGCCTCAAAATAGTGTATAAGCTCCTTCTCCTGATTTTTATCTTATAACTATCATGTGATGTTGGTCAGGCTAAGTTTCAGTGACTGGCTCAAATTCATCAGTGAGACTCCAAGCGAAGTAAGGACTAGAACTTGGTTCTCCTGAATTTCAGCCTACCACCACGTTGCCTCACTCTAGAGTTGTATTGTTGGAGGACAAATTCCGAATTAACGTGTTACATCTGCTATTCATATTGAAAGCCAAGTGTGGTGTTGTGGTTCGAATGTTAGACTGAAGAACTGGCAATACCAGGATCTCAGCCATGGAGCTCACTGGGTGTCTTTGGCCAGACACAGACTCTCAGCCTAACCTACCTCACAGGATGGTTGTTCTGAGGATAAAATGGCTAGAAGGAGAGCTTTGTAAAGCCACCTTGGGTTCCTTGAGCCTTGAGAAGGGAAGACTAAGGGGGGACGTGATATCTCTGTATAAGTACCTCAAAGGCTGTCACAAAGAGGAAGATCAAGATCTCTTCTTGCTGGTGGCAGAATGTAGGACATGGAATAATCAATTCAAGTTGTGGCAACCCAGATTCAGTCTGGACATCAGAAAAAGCTTCCTCATGGTCAGAGCAATACGACAGTGGAACCAGCTGCCCAGAGAAGTGGTGGGCTCACACTAAAGACATTCGAAGAGAAACTAGACAGCCATCTGAGTGGGATGGTGTAACTTGGTGTCCTGCAACAGCAGCGGGTGGACTCGATGGCCTTCATGGCCCCTTCCAACTCTACTATGATTCCTTGCAAGGGGAAGAAAGGAGGGGTATAAAAGCAATGTAGCAATAATAATATTTTCTATGCTATTCATCTATATTGAAGGCATCAGTAGTGCTGTGCATATCCTTTAACACCCACCACACCTTTCATGTGCTCAATATGGGCCAATTTCTCAATGTGACTGTAAAATGATATCTGCATTGTATTGTTTCAGGCTGCAAATGAAAACGTCTATAGTGGAAGACCCCATATAAAAATAATATTCTCAGTTGTTCAGGCATGCAAAGCAGGGTGGATAAAATCAGTGATTATTTTGAAATCAAAAATTGTATTTTTAAAATTTAAATGAATTTTTAAAAATAAAATGCTTTTTGAGGAAAAATCTGTTTAAAGATAGTTTTCTGTTTAAGATACATTATAATCTAAATGCTCATTCATGGATCACTATCTCACCGTGGCAAAGTGGCTTGTGTAGCACAATGAAGCTATGAACTATGAGGTGCAGGGGCACCCAAGACGGACTGGCCATAGAGAGCTTTGACAAAAGGTGATCCACTGGAGAAGGAAATGGCAACCCATTCCAGTATCCTTGCCATGAAGTCCGATGAACAGTACTAAAAGACTACAAGATACGACGCCAGAAGATGAGCCCCTCAGGTCGGAAGGTATCCAATGTGCTATTGGGGAAGAGCAGAGTACTAGTGCCAGAAAGTGCATAGCAACTGGGTCAAAGCTGAAAGGACACTCAGGTGTGGATGTATCTGTTGGTAAAAGGAAAGTTTGATGCTGTAAAGAACAATACTGCATAGGAACCTGGAACGTAAGATCTATGAGTCAAGGTAAGCTGGATGTGGTCAAACAAGAAATGACAAGACTGAACATGGACATCTTGGGAATCAGTGAACTAAAATGGACAGGAATGGGTGAATTTAATTTAGATGACCATCATATATACTACTGTGGACAAGAATGCTTCAGGAGAATTGGAGTAGCCATCATATTTTTACTTATTTATTTAGAAAATTTGTAGGCTGTCCATCACAGTCATCTCTGGACGGCTTACAACATTATTTCAAATCCTAAATAAAATAAATTAACTATTCCACATCTGAGCATAGTCAATCAAAAAGTAGGAAAAACAGTGCTGGGATAGAATCTCTAAAATGACAGAATGATCTCAGTTTGAATCCTAGGCAAACCATTCAACATCACAGTAGTCCAACTCTATGTCCTAACCACCAATGCCAAAGAGGCTGAAGTTCACCGGTTCTATGAAGACCTACAACACCTGCTAGAAATGACACCAAAAAATAATGCCCTCTTCATCATGGGGGAGGCCTGGCATTGGAGAGGGGCAAAGGCTGGAAGTTTTCCATGATCCCTGGGGATCAAAGGGTTTTGCAGATTTGGGAGGGAATAAAAAGCCTGCTGACAGGCAGGCTGTTGCGCCTCACATGGGAAAGAGAAACAGAGGTGGCCCAACTGCTGAGCGAGACAGTGACTCTGAGGAGACCAGTTGGTGCAACGTGACAGGTTGTTAGGTTTTTTTAGCTTAGTCTTTTTTGTCTTAGAGTCTGGGACGGTCAAACGACCCTTAGCAGGATAAACCTCTGGAAGCTGTATTGTTTTGCCTACCTCATCCCTTTTCCCCTTTCCCTACTCTTGAGTAGCTGAAATTATTTGTATTTTGCCCTTGTGTATATGTTTGTATTGTAATCTAATAAAGACACTTTCCCCCCAAGTCTTGGGTCAGCATGTGCTAGTCCAGTGCCACTTCTTTGTCAAGGGCCGGGTTTTAATCCCTTTAAATTTGGGAGCTGCTGGAGGGTGGGGACTTTCGGCAGTGTTTTGTGGAGGGCAGTCTGCCTCACCGTTACAGCTACCATAGCCTAAGTGCTCAGATGGGCAGGCTTATTCATTCATAAATCCAAGGACATTTTCTATGTTTTTCTACCCTAACCTAAGCCACCCTCATGTAATTTAAAGTGCCACTGAGTGCCTCTGCATATAGTGTAGGCCTAACCTGGCACTGAAAGGAGCCAGGGGGCCTCAACTAAGATATCATTCCATAATCGGGTTACCACCATCCTTCAGAGATGGCACTTGGAGAAAGATTTAGATGGTAAGCTTAATGTAGGTTGCGTTCTGTCCACTTTCTTTTACCAAGGACAGAAGTGAGAAGTTCACAAACTATGCACTGCAACAACAAAACCTGGTGAGGATAATGCTTTGTTCAGTTGTTTTAAATTTACTCTGTTGTGATCCCAGCATTTGCTAATGCATCACTGGATAGAGCAACAAGTTCATTACTGCTCTGCTTTGTTGTGCTTCCATTGAAAAATGTGTTATACATTATCTACTGAGCTGGTATGGCACTAGTATGGTATGTGCATTTGTGCATGCATGCCCCAAGGTCCCTTTCTACTTTTCATATAGTGTGCATGCATGTATACCCATACTCACATCAGAAAAGCAGTACAAGGACTGAAGAAGCCAAACATGTGAAATAAGCAAAATAATGCTGTCTCAACTAGTATAGAGAATGAATGCCAGACATACCTCTGTCTGAAGTTGTAGTAAAGAATGATCCCTGTTCTTGTGACTGTTGCACGTATTTTAGAACATGAAATGTTGCTTTCCTGGTGTCATGGAAAATCATAGGATATTATCTGTGGCATTAGCAGGAGGCACATCACAAGCCCACTCCCATCTTAATTGTGCCTTTTGGAAAGACTTGCTATGTGAAATATATCCCTCCCTCCTTTCTCCCCTGCAGCCATTTGCCCTACCCTTCATTCTTGGGAAGCTGCATGCTTGTGCTTTGATGTATTAAAATGCATATTTCTAACCACTTTTGAAAGCTGAATGTTGTTCCCCTTTTATAAAAGGAGCAGCACTCCTCCCTTTCATCATTAGGGGATGAAGATACAGTCACAAATGCCAGTGTTTTAAGTATAGCCCCAGTAGAAGCTTGCAAAAAAAGAGTCCTCCTGGAAGTGCTTCTTTGCCCCTAGCTAAATGCTAATTAGAGGTAGGATGCAGAAATGGAGAAGAAAACCATCTGATCAGGGAGAAATCAGCTGGTACAGCCATAACCTGAACTGAGCTATTAGTTTGATCTAATAATGCTATATTTCTAACCCTAACCCCCAACTGTTTCTTTTAAACTTCATGAAAATTCTCTGATTTCTAAAATGTTTTTTGAATAATACATATCTGCAGACCTTGACAATGCTTCCCTGCTAAATGTATTTGCTATTGTTTCCCCTTATTGTTAGCCTAAGGGCACAATCCTGTGAGTGTTCAGACAGTAGAAAAAAGTCTTACAGTTCCCAGTGTAGTCTGTTAAATTATATGTAGGATTATGTACTAAATGTGATAAACCACATTGGGCTTATGCATAAAGACCCTTTTTATAGCCATTTTTTTTTCAAGTTCAATTTGTAGTTTTCTAGCAGCCTTGACATTTCCCTAATCACAAAAACCTTGAACACCAAAAATCAGAGAAGAGCTCAAGAGCACTAACAAGGACATAAGAATTAAAATTACACACTGATCTATAATTGGAAATTTTGAAGTAAAACTTAAAGCTATGGCTTTCTGATGATTTACAAAATGGAAAACATCTTCCTAAAGTAGCAGAACAGATACTGCCAGATGAATCACATGCCTCTGCTTAAACCATCCAAATCAGTTTGTATGTTTTGTCATTGGTCTACAGAAGGTTGAATGCCAATCTGATTACCTCTCAACATAATTTCATCAAGAGAGGATGATATGGTGACTCTGTTACTTTGTTCATCAATAAGATAAGCAATCACATTACTTAATTTGAAAATACATGAATGAGTTTTTCTTACATTGGGAAGACATATTGCATCAGAATAATAGAATCTCAGTTCTGGGACAGATATCTGCTACCGTGGGACATTAACAGGGATTGAAGAACACATATCCATAAGTTTCATCTCTAAATGAGTTGCAGGGTGGAAATCTGTTAAGATCAAAAAAGCCTAGGACTGAATCACTGGACATCAACTAAAGGCACTTCGGGATCTTGAGACCTGTATTAAATTTTTGGAAAGTGTCAAAGATAGTACGTTTCTAATGTTGAATGAAATGCAGGAAATAATAAAGCATTTTAATGAAAGCAGATCCCTGAAACTGTTTATAAGCAGGTGGCTCCTGAGAGAGAAATGCACTTTTATATAATTAAAATGTCATGGTTGAAAATATATTTTGAGGTTTAGGTGTTGGTGGTGGATTCTCTGCTGGAGGCAATAGATCTCCTGTGAAGGCAGTAAAACGGTATTCCTTGTGAAGGTCTTTTCGCATGTCGACTAGCTCCTCCTCAAGATTTTGAGCCTGTGGTGGGACATATGAAGATATGAATATAATACAACCAATGTTATCACATTTATATGACAATGTTAAAAGAAGTAACTTCATTTTCATTTGTGCTTTAAACAACCATTTGTTACTGCATTTGTGAATCTGTATACCTAAACCGAATGGTTGCCACACTAATCTCTAAATAAAAAACTAGATTTAGAATTGCCATCTTCAAATAGGAGATTTGCACAGCTTAGATACAAATTTCTACCAATACAAATTCCAGAGGAATAACTATGTTTCCTGGTGGTAAGCCCCATTGAATTCAATGGGACACATATTTGAGTGTATTGTGCTCTTAGTCTCTTGAAGCAAAAACAGGACTGACTGGTGATACCTTAATGAGTAACGCCATGAACATTTTTCGGATAGTCTACTTTGCCAGAGGCATGGAAATGTTAACCTCAGTTAAACAGACATCTTCAAAGAGTGTTTGCTCAATGAAGCTGCTTTTGCAAATTTTTTGCTTCTTGTGCAGCTCCATTCTTTCAATGTCTATTTGGAAGTAAGTTCCACTGAGTTCAAGATAATTTATTTCCAAGTAACAGTGCATATAATAATGGGTTTAGGCTTACTCTTAAGCCCAATTATTAGGAAGTAGGTATCAGTGAACTCATTAGTACTTATTAACCCACAAAAAGTTTTAGGGTGCGGGTGCACTATATTTTTGGCAGCACTTGAAACTAGACTGACCTGTGTGTGTGTATTAATCACTATGCTTAGCTCGAACAAGACTAAACCCAGTAAACCCTTCTCCATCCCTTCCTTGTATACCTCAGTTTTCTCCTTTATTTCTGTGTTACAAGCAAATCAAAGTTTTGCTTGCTTTGCATAAATGATGTTTTATGCACAAACCAGAATTGCAACCCATAGCTTAAAAGTGGTGAGTTCTCATAAAATACAGTTTATCTAACTCTGATGTAACAGCAACATGTGATTCGCTGCTAACCCAGAAAGGCAGGTTGCATACCTGTAACTATTGTTCCTCGAGTGGTCATCTGTACATTCACACATATGGGTGCTGTGCCTGTGCAGTGCCTTGTTTGGAAAGATTTCTCTAGCCTAGCTCAGAACTTTCTGTGGGAGCTCCACCCCCTTCACCCCTATATAGAAGGCAGGCACCACTCAGTCCCACTTGAGACCAATGTTTGCCCTAGAAGAATGTTCTTTACCCTCCTAATGTCATGTAATATGTATAATAATTAGGGCTTTTTTTGTCATAGAACAGCGTTCCGGCACCTTTTTTTGACAGATTTTTCCATGTTAACTTAAATTATAACATAACTTAAATTATACTGTTAAATTATATTGTTTTACATTATGTTATTTATTTATGATTGTGAGCCGCCCCGAGGCTTCAGCGAATGGAGCGGCATAGAAGTTCTCTAAATAAATGAATGAATGAATGAATGAATGAATAAATGTGATTATGAATCACCCTGTCAGGCGTAGCAGGTCAGCGGCAAAAAGCATTAAAATAGTGCTTGCGGGCTGCATGTGTGTCCGCGCTGCTTGTGAGGGCACTGCTCGGCTCGGGACGCTGCTCAGCTTGGGATCGGTCATGTGGTCACACGCTGAGTGCTTACTGCTAGTGGCGACCATTATGTTTATGTGTGTGTAGAGTGACTGGCTACATGCAAAAGGTAAATAAGTTCTTTATTTCAAAAAAAGTTGGTGAATTGTAAATCTTTTTTAGTGTAAAAGTGTGACCCCAAGAGGTGAGTTCCGGCACTTTTTTTTTTTTACAAAAAAAGCACTGATGATAATGTTAATAAAGTCAATAAACAACTATATTGTACATATGTATGTCCACTGACACCAACGTGGGGCTGGTGAGTGGGCTGTGTGACTGCACAGATGACCACTTGAAGAATGGCAGTTACAGGTATGCAAACTGCTTTTCTTTGTTGTGGTCTCTGTGCATCACACATATAGGTGACTGGAAAGCATGCCTTAGATGGTGGCAGGAGGTGTCGTTACACTAACTTGTAGGTTGGTACATTTGAGACAAGGAATTCTTCCATGTCCGCTGTTCAGACATTGACATATAAACATTCACTCATCAACGTGTAACAATCAAAGGTGGTCGAATGTCCACATATCAGTGCAAAATGGAAGACAATACAGCCTGTCTGCAAAGGCAGTCTTTTCTCGCCCTGATGTCCTGTCTATAGTGTTAAACAAATGTAGACAGTATTGTCCATGTTGCTGCTCTGCAAAGATTCTCTATAGTAGTCCTGGATAGAGAGCCATCAATGTGGAGACAGCTCTGGTAGAGTGAGCTTTCAGTCTGTCTGGCAAGTTCAAGGATGACAGTTGGTACACTAACTTGACAAGCTTGATAGTCTCGACAATCCAGTGTGCCAAGCATTGGGGTCTGACCAGATCTCCCTTAGAACAGTCCACGTACTTCACAAAGAGTATCTGTCTTACAAACAGATTCATTTCAGGACCAATAAAATGCTAATGCACGATGAACATCAAGGGTATGGAGCACTCTTTCAATGTCTGTGGAAGGTGATGGATAGAAGGCTGGAGGAACAATCTTTTGGTTGATATGAAAGGACGAAACTTTAAGTAGGAATGAAGGCTCGATATGGAAGACAACTTTATGAAAAGTTAAATAAGGAGAGTCTACTTGCAGTGCACAAGGTCACTTTTTTGGTAGGCTGAGGTGATGGTGATGAGGAAGGAGACTTTCTAGGATACAAGTCACAAATCAATGTTTGCAGGTGGTTTGAAGGGTGGTTTTGTTAATGCATGTAATACAACAGAGAGGCTCCAAGCAGGGACCATAGGTCAAATGGGAGGGTGTAGATTCTTAATCCTTTCATAATCTGCTGTGACAGTGGATAGAAAAAAAATGTAGTGCCCCTCAGTGGGACCATGAAAGGAGGAGATTGCCAATAAGTATATTTTTACGGAAGTCGACTTCAGGCCTGATAAGTAGAGGGAGTGTAGAAATTCTAAGATCCTGTGGATGGTTGCAGAGGTCAAAGGAATGGAGCCTTGCATATTTGCCAAACTTTGCCCACTTGGTAGCATAGGACCATCTGGTAGTGGGTTGAAGAGCTGCTGTTAAAATTTGCTTCCAAATTTGCTTCCCTGGTCATAAAGTAATCCCATTGATCAGAGAGGTTGAGAGGGCAACTTGGTTTTGTTGGAACAGAGGTTGGGTCTAGTGGAGACTCTAGTTGTAGTGGAGAGTCTGAAACTGAGGAGGTATGGATTTGAGGCAAGCAGTCTGTCACAATAGAAATGGTTGTACCAAACCCAGTGGGTGGGTTCAGAAGACTGAGTTGGTACAGTCACCAAGACTGAGTCGAGAACTGCTCCAATATACAGGATACTCTGTGCAGGGGTGAGAATAGATTTTTCCAAGTTAATGCATAGCCCCAATTCATTAAGGATGATGCAAGTGGTTTCAATGGCCTGTTTGATGTTCTCTTTGGTATCTGCTACTGGGCGCAGATCATTCAGATGTGGGTAAATATGAATTCCTTTTAATCATAAGTATGCATGCACACTGGAGAGTGAATACTCTCAGTGCTGTGGAGAGACCAGATGGTAAAACTTTAAATTCATAGGCCTCGTTGCCAACTTGGAAATGCACCAAAGAGGAAATGACTGTTGTTGAGATGGAGGCTTATATGGAAATAAGCATCCTTTAAATCGATAGAAGCGAACCAGTCCCCTTCCTTCAATAGTGGCATTATGGACTGAAGGGAAACCATTCAGAACTTTTAATGTGTAATAAACCAGTTTACTCCTCGTAGATCTAATACTGACCACTAACAGCCATCTCTCTTAGGAACAGGAAAGCACCATAAATAGAAACTGTGCTTAGCTTCAGGTTGGTGTACCGGATGGATTGCCCCTTTTCCTAGTAAAGCGGCAACTTCCTCCATTAAGGTCAAAGAGGAAGGAGTTATACAGATTGATCCTAGATGCAGCAGGGTCTCAGATCTGATTTTGTAGCCATCACATACAATGGAAAGAACCCACCAGTTGGATGTGACAGTTTCCCAGTGGGAGTGTAACGGTTCAAATGGTCTCCAAATGGACACATTGCATTCTCAGAGGGCCCAGTTCACTCTGACCATCAGCGCTGCCTCTTATCTGTTTCAGGGCATTTCTTGGATGGTTGGCTTCAAGCACGATCCCATCTACATGGCTGGCCCTGCATCCACCCATATGGAGGGCAGCTGAAAGAATAAGCCTGCTGTCTACCTGGAGGAGCTTGGTATGGAACAGGTTGACCCCATGGCCACTTATGCGCACTGGATTGGAGAGTTCCTATCCCTATCCATCACACAGTCACCCTTGTCTTCTGGATAGTATCTAGACATTGTCTGAGCATTGAAGAGGCCCTCTCCATCAAAAGGCAATGGACTCTATACATGACCATTTCTCCTGAGGCAGGTTGGCTTCCTGAAGCCATGCATGTCCACAAATTGCCACTGCACTGACTAGATCCCTAAAGTCACAGTCGATGTGATGGCACTGTGGCATTTGTTGCTTTGACAGCAGGATCCCTTCAGCAAGGAAGACCCTGGCTAGTCCCTGTTGCTGGTCCAGAAGAAAAGCTGCCAGAGCCTCCATCTTCTGCCACAGGAAGGCCTGATACCTTCCCATCATGGCTTCATAGTTGGAAATGCAGAGCCCCAAACCCATTGCCAAACAGATGCAGCATGCGATTGGGATCTGGTAGAGGCAGTCTGCGTGAAACTAAAGGGTTTGACAGGGGGAGGGATCTGACAGTGGGGGTATGTTATCACTCTCCAGGTCAACTTGAGACCCTGGATGATGTCCTGACAAATCAAATTCAAAGGATATCTCGGGGGGGGGGGCACAGTAATTATGGGAGATTTCATGTCACTTCCTAGATGCTATAAAGGGAGGGTTTTTCATGCAGAGGGTCCAAGAGCTGATGGGAGGGGGAGAGATCCTTGACTTGGTTTTGACCAGTGGGGAGGAGCTGATAGATGAGGTGCAGATTAGGGGAGCTCTTGATGGGAGTGATCACTCCATACAGATAGAAGGAATTGGAGTATGTCAGAAAATTAAAATTAATTTATTTGCAGATGATATATTGTTAACATTTCAAGATCCAAAAAACACTATAGAGAGAATATATTCACATTTAAAGGTATTTGGAAAATACAGTGGGTTGCAAGTAAATTGGGAACAATCAGAAATGATGGTATATAATCATAATAGTGAAGAACTGGATATATCAAAAGAAAAGTATAAATTAGAAATAGTAGATAGTATTAGATACTTAGGAATTGATATTCCAAAAAAATAATCAAGAACTAAAGAAAATTATGAAAAGTTAAAGAAGGATATAACAGATAAAATAGGAAAAGTTAAAGTTATCATGGTTTGGAAGAATAGCAGTAATAAAAATGAAAATTCTGCCAAGGATTAAATTTTTGTTTTGGATGATTCCAATCAAGTTTCATGATCAAGAATTAAAGGAAATTCAGAAGTTATTGGAGACATATTGTAATGAAGGGAAGAGAGCAAGAATAAGTAAAGTATTATGGTATGAATCACAAAAAAGGAAGAGTTGGGAATTCCAGATGTTAAAAAGTATTGGGTTGCAAATTAATTAAAGATAGTTCCCAAAGTAAAGAACTAATATGGAGTAATATTGAATTAAAAGAATTAAGGGAAACAGGTAATTATTTAGAAACATGCTGCTTTAAGAAGGATATAAAAAAGTTTATTAAGAAAATTCAAAATCCCTTTTTAAGAAATACAATGGAAGTACAGGAAAAATGGAGACAGCAGTTAATGCTTGGAATTTCTCGGTTAACACCAGTGGTCGAAATGGAGAAATTCCAAAAAATAGAATCAAAGGATTGGATTAATAAACTAAAAAATAATCAAATATATAAATGGGAAGATTGGAAAAATAAGAAAAAAATATAACACAACTGAGGAGTGTATTGGCAGAGGTCAAATTAAATTGGTTAAATTTAATACAACTAGAAAAATGGATAAAGATGGAGGAAAAATTTAAAGGGGCAGAAAGACAATTAACAAAATTTGAAACAATTGTGAAAGAATGTGAGATTAAGGAAGAATATACAGGTAAAGGAATTGCTAAAATATTAATAGAACTAGGGGATCAAACAAAAGGCTTTCAAATCAATTTGGGAAATGGATGCAGGTGAAATAAAAGACAAAGATTGAAAGATTTGGAATAAAAGGGTATATAAGAATATATTGGTTATAATTAAAGAACATGGGTATAAAGTGATATGGAGATGGTATTTAACACCAGTTAAGTGAAACCAAATTGATGATAAATATTCCAATATATGTTGGAGATGTGGGAAAGAGATTGGAACTTATATGTGGTGGGATTGTGATAATCTACAAAAGACTTGAATTATGGTGTTTAATGAAATTAGACAAATTCTAGATGTAAATTTAGAAATCTCACCAAGAATTGCATTATTGCTGTTGATTGAAAAACAAGATATAAATGAAGTTAAAGAATTGATTTTAAACTTAATAATGGCAGCCAGGTTAGTGATAGTTAAATATTGGAAACAGAATTGGGTTATGCAAAGGAATGAATGGTATAATGAAATATGAAATAAGTTAGTTAATGATAAATTACCAATTGAAATAAAAATTAAAAAGGGATAATAAAAGCAAATCAATATAATGAAATATGGGAAGACTTTGTAAAAGCAGTATTGTTGGAAGGTAAAGGTTTTAAGCCTAATCAAGAATATATGAATTTCAGGAGGGAATATGGGTATAACTGAAGTATAGTATATACTGTTAATTGTTATACTATATGAAATGAAATGGAGGTATTTTTGGTCTCCTGGGTGGTGGGTGCACAGTGTTAATTGTTATTAGTTGGGTTTCATATGTTTATATTACTAATATTGTGAATGGCATATGCTTGTATCTCAGATGTTTGTATTAAAAACATTAAAAATTTATTTAAAATAAAAAGGGACAAAAAAAGAATAATTGAGGCCTCTCATTTGTGGTGCTGGAGAAGACTCCTGAGAGTCCCTTGGACTGCAAGATCAAACCAGTCAATCTTAAAGGAAATCAATCCTGACTGCTCTTTAGAAGGCCAGATATTGAAGATGAAACTCAAATACTTTGGGCATCTAATGAGAAGAAACAAGTCACTGGAGGAGACCCTGATGCTGGGAACAATTGATGGCAAAAGGAGAAGGGGATGGCAGAGGATGAGGTGGCTAGATGGAGTCACTGGGGCAGTGGGTGTGGGCTTGGGTGGACTCTGAGGGATGGTGGAGTACAGAAGAGCCCGAAGGAATGTTATCCATGGTATTGTAATGGGTCAGGCTTTGTGACTTTGTGACTGAACAACAGCAACAACTTTCACTGTGAGGCATGGATGCAGACCTCAAACCATGATTTAGACTTCCAGGAATATTACATCTTAACCAACCCTATATTTCAAAAGGAATAAATGTAACCCACAGTTTCAAAGTCTTGATGTGCTTCCTCCATAGCTTCTAGGTGTGTCATTTCTGTTAACCCTTTTCTTCTTTCTTTCAGCATTTCTGTGTGCTGCTTAATGCGGTTTTCCAGTTCCTTGTATTTGGCAGCTCTGAAAGATACACAGGATAAGAATTTTGTTTTCCATGTATTAATGTTGCCAAGGTGGTTAACACAGTCTTCTTACACTTCATTTTATATTCATAACAACACCCTTGTGAGGTAGGATTGGTTGATCTGTGAATGACTGGTCCAAAGTCACCCAGTGGGCTTCACGGCTTAGTGGGAGGTAGAACCTGGATCTCCTGTGTCTCCAGCTCAACACTCTAACCATCATACTGCACTGAATTTCATTTAGGGATGTACTCAAGATATTTATTTCATTTCAAACAATATCATTACAACAATTCAAAAACTAATTATGCAAAAGACGGATATTTCAAAAGGACTTTCAATTTCCTAATGTGCATATATTTGAGGGAAGTATTTTTTTAAACTGCAAGAAACAAATACATGTGTTAATATGTTTACCCTAATCGCCAGAAAGTTAGGTTGCAATTCTGTATCAACAGACCTAGAAGCAGTGCTAATGAACCCAAAGAGATTTACTTATGATTAGACAGATACAGGTGTGCACTGTTGTAAAATGTATGGGATACAGCCTTACTTATTAGAAAATACACACTTTTAGATACAATGGAATGTACTTCCATAAGAATGCTCTCTAAACCTTGTTGATTTTAATTGGATTTAAGCATCACTAACTTGACTGGCATTATGGAATAACCTTGTTCACACATGCATGAATTTTCATGTGTAACATGTAAATGCAAAAATAATTATTTTTATCCAAAAGTGTGCTGTGTACACAGCAGGATGTGCACTGTAAAGCAGTGAGGCTGTTAGTGGAGACTGGCCAACATGATCTTATTATGCCAGTACTTTTTCCATCTGTACAGGCTGCCAGTTCATTTCTGGGCCCAATTCAAATGTTGGTATTCAAAGCTCTAAACAGCATTGGTTCATGTTACAAAAATGATCTTATATATACCAGCCCAGCCCCTAACATATTCAATAATCTTTTTCAGGGAATTTCCAGAAGATCAAGTGTGTTTTAATGGCTCCTAAGAAGAGGCCCTCACTTGCTGTGACACCCTGCAAAATATGTTTCCAAGAGGCTGTATGTTACAATATTTTTGGAAGTGGGTGAAGACCTTCTAATTATCCCAAGCAGTTTAATATTTTAGTTTCTCTTTATAAATTTTACTATATTTTAAATGTTTGCACTGTTAATAGGTTTTATTTGATTTTTATTTTATACTGTAGTCTGAAGCTTTTTATTACATTTTATTTTTATTTACATTTTATTGTGTTCTATCTCATGGTTTTAATTGTTGTGAATTGCTCAGAGAGCTTCAGCTATTGGAAGGTATAAAATGCAACAACAATAATTAGACAATACTCCAACAAAATAGGGGAAATAACTTTTTCAAACAGGGAAAAATAGCTTAAGAACAAAATTTATTAGGGAATTTTGTTCCTGTTTGCAATCATGCCATTTTCTTGTTCAGGGAAAAGAGAAAAAGGTAAAATAGAAAAGATGCTTGTGCTGGGAGCAAAAATGAGGTGAGCTGACCAATGAGGTAGAAAAAGGGGAACTTTGTTGAGCTTGAGCATCACTCATTCTCCCATGCCTAATGTTGATGAATAAAAGTTTTATTCTACAGGAGCATCTTACAGAAGAGTGCCTGCATAAGATATCAACCCTGAGCATTTGAACTGCACACTATTCCTGGTCACAAGGGATAATGATAGAGAAAGAAATAAGTTGGTAATCAGGGTTTGGAAAGTAAGGAATGGGCAGAGTGCTCTGGAAACAGGCACAGTTTGGGAGGCTGTATAAAGGGCAATGCAAGCATTGACAGAAGAATGGGCCACCATAATGGATAAATCCAGAGAAATTTCAGGAGAAAGAGAAGGGAATAGAGCCAAAGTTGGCATATATACTGTGTTCCAGTGTAAAATGGATACAAAGGATTTCATTTTCTGGTTTGCTACAGATACTTGGAAATGCATAGGCCATCCTCTGTAATGCAGGCATTTGGCCAGAAATTCAAAATGAGGAAGCTACCCTGGCTGTCTAGACATTTTTGGATACCAAGTTATCTAGAAGTAGCCAAATTCTTGGAGTCAAGGCAATGATGAGCAGAACAAGTTGCTGGCTAGGCTGTTACTTAGGTTCTGGGTTGTAAGTACAGTTGGGTTGAAAAAAATAGTTTTTGAAATGAAGAGCTGAATAACAAGTTCTCCTCTGATACCCTGGCTATGCTGAGGAAGACAAGAGAATGTGAGGAATGAGCCAAGGAAGGAAACTAGCTAAGAATGTGGGTCCTGTACATGCTTGCACTTGAGAGGATTGTAAATAACCTCAGCACAATACCCTAGATGCCCATCATGTTCACCAAATCACTGGACTTGGAATTATGATCACATAAGGTGTGGCACAGCCTCTTGCAGAGTGTGGCTGCCCACGGGGCAAGTACTGAACTCAAAGTCTGGAGAGCCTTATGCACCACATATGAAAACCTGGTTGCTTTGCCAGAGGGTAAGGCTCTAACTGTGTAGGCAATGCCAGAGCAAATGAGACAGAAAGGTGATTTCATGCAGGAGAGTGAAAGCAGATCTCTGGCCTTGGGCTGAGCACCAGAGGAGGAGATGAGGAGCACGGTACACAGGATTCCTGAGTCCAAGGGGTAGTTATAAACTTTGAACAAAGAATACAAAATGATCAATGACCATGGATTTGTTCAATGACATAGCACCAAATGTTCATTAACTTGGCTCTGGAGAATGCAGTGATCCTCAAGAGGTCCCTGACTACTTCATTGAGCAATACAAAGGCCATCCTTTGGCAGGGACAGGGAAAATAGGTAGAGATTGGGGAGGGGGAGGGGGAGGACAGCATAAGGTCTGCCCAGGAGATGCTTTAATCTGCTTCAGCACCAGGCCATGTTTCTCACCCAATCCTTGGACTTCACAGTCTTCTAAGTTGTCTAGCTGGGATAGAGACTTGGGTTTCAGGAAGGTATTAGCATGCATCTGAGGTTCCCATGGTAGAGGATGGTTATGGGGAATTAAGCAATAGCCCTCCTGATACCACCCAGGACTCTCATTCTTGTTATTCTTTAAATCTCTTGCTTATGCTGCCTCTTCCCAGAACAAAATGGATACATTAACGTGCCAGGATGATTCCAACAATAGCACAAACTATGTTTTCATAAAGCTAGTGTGGCTAAGATGTTTTTGTAACACTTGACTGGGGCCTGTGATTTTCAGTTTATGAGATCCATGAAATAATGGCTGAAACTATCATGATCTGTTGCTACTCTAAGCCATCCATTTAAGAAAACCATTCACATCCCATCATCTATCTATTTTATTTATTTATTTATTTCAAAATACACTCCATCTTTCCTTACACATTCAAGGCAGCACATTCTGTTTGGAATGCATGGAAGTTGCACAGCAGGAGATATTTTCCTTCTCGGCATGTTTCTTCAAAATAAGAGTAGAGATATACTGGTATACAAATCAAATGTCTGAAGAAATCTCCAGAACTTTGGCTTCTTGTTGTAATTATATTTGTAATGTACAGACTTGGTCCTTTATAAAACATTTAAAGCACTGAAACATCTGAAAGCTCCAAAATCAGTTCTTTTCAATCTGTACATACAGGAGAAATGGGGAAACTGCCTTTTTTTTTCAAGAGCAAAAGATATATTACCACAGAGGTCCTTGTCTCTGGTTCCTGAGTATCAGTTGCTTTGTTACCAGCTGCCATTGAAGGAGAGAATTGCTTAAGCTGATCAAATAAAAAGGGTCTGGGTGCTCTCTTCAAGCTCTTAGAAGCTATTAAAGCTATTAAAAGCTATTAAAAGCTATTAAAAACACATAGGGCAGTGTTTCCAAACACTGGGTCATTTTTGTTGTCCTCCCCTGAACCCTTTCTAATTTTTCTGCACCTTTGTTAAATCTTGGTGCCCAGAACTGGACACAATATTCCAGATGAGTGAGGAGTACAACAGAACTAATACTTGTGATTTGGAAGTAATACTTCTGTTAATTTTTTTCCCCAAAAATAGCATTTGCCCTTTTGACAGCTGCATCGCTCATGTTGGCTCATGTTTAGCCTATTGTCCACAATTACTCTGAGATATTTTTCTTTTTCAGTGCTGTTGAGCCACGTATTCCCCATCTTGTATTGATATATTTGGTTTCTTTTTCCTAGGTGCAGGACTTTGCACTCATCGGTATTGAATCTCATTCTGTTTCTTTCAGCCCATTGTTCAAGTTCATCAAGATCGCCCAGGATCTTCATTCTGTCGTCTGAGGTGTTTGTTATTCCACCCAGTTTTGTATCATCTGCAAATTAGATTATCTTTCCTTGTACTTCCTCATCTGAATCATTAATAAAGATGTTGAAGAGCACTGTACCCAGGACCAGTGTCCAGGAAGAGGTCACTGTAGAGAGGGACGCAGCCGACTTGCTGGAGAACATGGGGTTAAGTCCCTTATTTCTCCATCTGAGAAGGAAAGAGAAGATTCATTCCTCACTGTCAGTCCCAAGGGTGGAATTGGACTTGTCTTGGTTGCATGCTGACCCAGGCCTGGGGCACATAGACAAAGCAGTTGTTGGAGCCTCAGCAGACACTGATGGGTCACAGGAAGAGCAAGCCACCTTAGAAGCACCAGGGCACTCAGTAGCAGTTCTGGTAACCAACTTGATGGCTATTAAGGCTCAGCTCCCCATTTCTGTCTACAATCTTCAAGCCCATATTTTGCATGCTTGACAAGTAAACTCTTGACAGTGTGGATAAGTGTCCATTCTACAGTCCTCGCTTAAGTAAAACAGGCATACTGAATGCCCATCCATTGCTGGCATTTTGATGTCACACTGAGCATGCTTTCAAAAAACCACCCTGAGAGCCATCAAGAAGAGAGTGCGTGGAAAGGTAGCAAGGGAATAATTACAGTTAAGAAGTGGGTTCAGAGGGGTCAGAAAAGCAATACAAGGGATTTTTAAAATTGTTTTGAGGAAAATTAAAGAGTAGAAAAAAATGAGTGAGAAAATAAGTTTTGGGTTGAAAAATGTAGAGTTAGAAGATGAGGTCAAGGCAAGGAAGCACTAGAATAGAGTTCCCAAGTTTACCCACAATGGTGGTCAAAAAGGAACTGGGCAGAGGACCATGGCTCCTGTCAAAGCAAGCTTAGCTAGGTAAATCCTCCAGACAACAGGCCCCGTGAAGGTGCAGAGTCCATTTGTGTGATGCACAGAGACCATGAAGAAGGACCATAGTTCACCATTAGAAGCAAAACTTGGGCTCATGCAGACATTCTCTCATGAAACAAACTGACATAAAAGTTTAAACATTTTTCATAGTTTAAAAAAATATCTTTGAAAAAGCAATAGTTAAGAATAAGTGCAATTTAGAGTTAATGGCAACTGAAGGGGCTTTAATAGTACATGTATTTTTTCCTCCTTTCTTGAAGGAGAAGGATTGCAGAGAAGAAAGGGCTTCTCTCCTATCTTGCTCTCCCCACATTTGGTGCATTAGCAGTGTGCTAATGTAAGAGACAGGAGAAGCAACTAAGCATGGATAGTTAGGGAACTGGATATAGACAGGGGCAAATTTGGCTTAACTCTCTTCTCAGGCATGAAGCTCACCAAGTGACCTCAGGTGAGCTTCTCACAGTCTAACGTACCTCATGGAATAGAGGGATGAGGGCATAGGAAAGAACTATACAGCTGTATACACTCCTTGAAAGATGGCTAAGACACAAATGCAATAAAATGGAAGACAGGAATTGAAAAGCATTCTAGGATTGAAAAGGCAAGGAACATCTGTCTCTACACCAGTGGCCTAAATATAGTTGTGTTAACTCCTCTTGACTGATATAATCACTGTCATTTGCACAGACTGTTCAAACAAGAATATATATCACTGTGATATTTATGGTATTGTTGTTTGGTCATTTGTGTGGAATGTTGCCAAATTCCCTAGATGATATTCCACTTCTCCTGGGAAACTAGCTTTAAAGCTTTTAGAACTTTTTGACTGCCAACCCAAAACTGCTGTGCCTTTGGTTGAATCCCTGGCTTCTGTTTATATTCAGTTACTCAGTCCTTTTATATCAGCTGTTGATGACATAACAATGACAATACACTTTTGCCCCATCCTCCTATCTGTTCTTTAGGATCAACTTAGTTAGCTTTTTCAGAATTGCCCTGTAATCTATACAATAGCATAAAACTTGGGGATTGCAGTGTAAAAACTGTATTTGTTATAAAAATGTGAATAAGACATCAAACTGGAAAACAGAATATAATTTAACTCTGGACCTCAAAAGAATAAAAAATGAGGTCTCATAAAGATGGGATAAGTGCAAATAGTTGTTGCTAAGTCTGAAAAAATCAGGTGGGGCTAGAAGATGAGAGCACTGCAATTCAGGTTCCCTAACAAGAAATACTTGCAATACACCCCTTAACATTTGCAAAAAGTAAACAGAGCATGGCTGTAACAGCAGACAGTGGATGAATACTTGTGTGTATCAAAAACAGCCCTGTATCTAAACATTGACCTACAGACAGACAGACTTCAGGATGAGTGTGTGAAATATATTATTACACATATAAGTCATCTTAAGGTAACTCTGGTGATCAGATAGAAGTAGAAAGCAAGAATGTGTGTATGAGAAGAGTGGTGCTCTTTTACTAGGACATTTGCATTTATGCAAACAGAGCTCAATCATATCTTGGTTCTCACCTTATATCATCCATCATCCTCACTGAGTTTATATTTATAGTCGCCTCTTTGTGGTCATCTTGTTTGGTTGGTTCTTTCCAGCCTTTTAATTTGTCATGATACTTGGCATTTTCAGTAGCATAAGGTGCATTTTGTGAAACCTAGAAAAATGCAGTGTATCGTGTCATTAGGATGCCTTGGCAAAAGAAATATATGATTCATTGCATTGGCTAAGGTTGCTAGAACAATCAGCTAGTACAGGGCCATATTCTATGCCTTAGTCTCAAAGCAGGGAGAATTTTATTTGGTGTGAACTATCCCATTATCAAAGCAACATGATTTTTACAAAAGTTTAAAATACTAAAATCCTTTACAACTTCTAAATGAGCAGAGGCACAATTTTATATCAATTACTACTAAAATGGATCTCTGGTCTTGAATCATGCAACCAGTTTCAACTGAAAAGTTCATTGCACCTGATATCTCATTCAGGTGGATGTCTGTTGAGATATGCCTGTGCGTGCACACGGGAGTTGTGGGGACAGTGCTTCTATGATGTTAAGGGCTTCACACAATAATCACTCCTCTGTCATGTGCATCTCCAAGCTAAGCCTGGGAGGGATGCTAGCTCACTTGTAAAACACATGCTTTGCATGCAGAAAGTCCCAAGTTCAATCTCCAGCATCCCCAAGTACAGCAAAAATTCAAGGACCCACTGCCAGAAAGTGTATTGACAAAAGTGATGGTCTGACTCAGTGACCCTTATAGTTGGTGAATCATGAATGGGAGAGAGCATACTTGAAGTCATTCATGCTGTGCTAACCAAACCAGGGATGGGGTCTCCTTGAGTTGTTTAGCTCAGCAGGAGTTGATTAGTGGTCATGAAGCAGAATGCTTACCTTCAGCATTCCATGGTTTGCTTGGCAGTGGGTTGTTGTCTGCTCCAGGCCAAGTTCCTATGTTTCTGTGACTGCCATTGCCAATTTCCCAGCAGAATGCACAAGACCAATTGGCACACTCCCTTTTCTAGAAATGGAGCTGGCACCACCCCTCACCTTGTCATTGCCAAGCAGAGAAGAGACTAGTTCATTTGGACACAAGGGCATTTCTTTATGAGAACAGAACTTGTGATACCAGAAATGAGGCAATTTGGATTGGACAGCTACCTGTTTTCTACCAGCAGTTCCCTCACAATATCAGCATGTCCCTCATGGGAAGAGACGAGATGCTGAAGGATTCAGGCAGCAAAGCCCATGTGCCTGCTGGGAAACACTTCTTTATCCAGGCAACAAGAGCAGCATTTGTAATGCCATTTGTGAATCATGATGTCAAAGTATATAGATTGCTCATCAACCTGGGGCCTTCTTGATGTGTCAGAATTCCCCAGCTGGGCATTATAGCACAACACATCAGAAGGTCTCTGAGTTGGGGAAAGCTAATTTACCATTTATGACATCCCCCCATCTACACACTGGACTGGTTGTCATTTTGCAAATGAACATGTCTGATGAACAATTATGGCCCAGAACAATATTTTTATATGTTTCTTTCTCTATAGCTGGAACCATAGCTGAGCCTGGCATTTCCTGCCTTTCCAAATTTTTTATTATTACTGAAATACCACAGAGATGAATGGCATCCCAAAGCAATGTAAGGAACCACAGGAAGCTGACTGCCTCACCTCTTATACAATATGGTGCAGCAAACTTAAAAACAAGTCATTCAACAAGATAAAAAAGACAGGCAGAAGCACCACCAAGAGCTATCTCTTCCCAAAAAAAGCATGAGGGAGAGGGTGATAGCATCAACTAAAAAAAGAGAAGACACTGTCAGAGTTGCTTCCTATCATACCAGCAATAAATTTGGTTCATATTTCATTTGTGTAAATACTACAGAATTAAAAACAGAAACTTTAGCTATGAGATTCACTCACAATATCATTTCAAAGAGGAAGTCTTGTTCCTCCCTGTTCACCATTAATCATGTTTGTTTTTGAGAAATCAAGCTAATGTCCCAATGATGCCCAATGTAAAAATTCTTGATGAAACACAATCCATTTCAGACATTATTAGTCTTTGAAGAATTCATGTTTGTTTATTTTGTTTATTTTCAGTGGAACATGTTCAGTGATAGAGGTCGTATGAGCACATTTCAATAGGCTAAAAGAGGCTTAAAAGGGTAAAAAAGAAAGGTTTGTATTCTGAAAAATATTAACATACCTATACTGCCTTATTTGCTAAAAAACCATGAAAACGATATCTGTGCATGTTTTACAGTACTGGAATTTTGCAAGGTCTATATGCTTTAACAAAGTGGGAAATGTTAAACAATCTTTTTGTTATAAATATGTACCACTGTTAGTAAACAGTGAAAATGTAGACTATAAACACATCTGTTTTTGTGCTCTACATTTAGGATATGTCTTAATGAGATTGAAAATGAAAGGCGTTTCCATGAAATCAAAGAAAAACAAGCCCCAGTTTCATTTTTAACCTTGGCATAGTACTCTTGCATCTCTCTTCCTAGCAATTGCCAAGCCATATCTAGTCCCCATACAATGAACGTTAGGGACTTGAGTTGAACAACTTGCTCCCTAGTGTGATTCAAGTCATGTCAGTGACTCAACTCAACTTAAGATTTCTACATTTTTATGACCAATTCACTCCAGGACTGACTGTGTGGCAGGATATGGTGGAAGGCAGGGAAAGAAATATTAAGGTAACATTAGCAACTTCGTATAAAGAAAATTTATATAAAATGTTCTATAGATGGTATTTGTCACCAAATCAATTAGCTAAGATGTTTCCAAATATGTCAAATAGATGCTGGAAATGTAAACATAAAGTGGGTACTTTTTATCATATGTGGTGGACTTGTGATAATGCGAAAAAGTATTGGATTAAAATACATAAATGGATGGAGGAAATATTACAAATACCCTTTGCTTTTAAACCTGAAGTTTTCTTGTTAGGCATCATACCGCAAGACATTAACAGACAGGAAATGTACCTGATGCTGCACCTAATCACAGCGACGAGGATTGCATTTGCTCAATATTTGAAAAGTGAGGAGCTACCCACTGATGAATTGATTGTAAGAAAGATCTTGGACTGCGCAGAAATGGATAGATTGACTTTATCATTGAAGGAGAAAGAGGACACTGACTTCTATCAAACTTGGGATTTTTCTATAACTGGCTGGAGAAATGGGACTTGGCGTAAACTTAGAGATGTTTTCAAATTATTATAAACTGATTTGAATCTGACTATAGAAGGTTAAAAAAATATGTAGTAGGGGGTTGACCCAGTAAATCCGATGTATGTGATGTTTGATGTTTTCAGTATTAGTTTAAAATTTTAATAAAATTTTAAAAAAAGTGAAATGACAAATGACGGGAGCCCCATCTATTTATACTAAAAGGGAGGGGATAGGGCTCCCACTAAACATTCTAGGCTTAGCTAGGGGAATCCTCCCAAATGGAGGCACTGTGCAGGCGCAGAACCCATATGTGTGATGCACAGAGACCACGAAGAATGTTAAATAATGTTAAAGCCTATAGCACCTGTCACCTGCTGTATGAAGTATTGAAGAGTATAAAGGTGAGGCTTTTGCCATGAGATTCCATGCAATAAAAGAACCTTGTTGATTTAGAATTTCCTATGTATGATTGCCACAATCATGGTCTGCAGGCCTGAGAACCTGGCATCCTATGCACATCCACCTTGGTGCAAGTTCCATTGAATTTAGTGGGACTTATGTGTAGTGTATACAGTGTGTAAATTAAGTGTTGGGACTGTACGCATGTCTCTGGGTGTGCTGGTTTGTACATGGGATTGTGTTCAGTAGTTTATAAAAAGAACCAGGAACATTGGAGAGGGACCATCTATACCCTGCAAAGAAGTGAAATAAAATAAATAAAAAAGCGAACTTCAAGAACTGGCAGACACAGCTGAGGGAAGAAAGTTATTTGATAATACTCCTTATTCCCTTATACAATACCAGATTACCAGGCTTCTTTCATTCTTTCATTGACTCCTTGACGGAATGAGAGTTTTTCAGTTTCCCAAACTTGCACTCATGCATTTGTGCAAATTTGCACTTGCAACCATATATACCCCAAATGTATAAATTTCCGGAGAATGCATATTTTTCAAAAGTTGGCCTATGGGGGGGTGCTTTTTAAAATTTCTCATTTTTTCTTCTTTGACAGCATTTGCACAGCATTTTGAAAAGTAGAAAGTGATTCAGCAGTTCACAGAATCTGTGTAAATCATTTGAAACCATTGCAGATTTTTCCAACCTCTTACTGCATGCAGTTGATCATAGTGAGTGTACTGTATCTAAAGGATTTTTGAAGTTTTGAAATAAAATGTCATTGTGTGTTGCCTTCTGCATAAGCTGCAACTATCAGATTACTTATGTTTACACTCCACCTTTTCAGTTCCAAAATGGAAGATCCGCAGGTGGCTGACATAAATAAAAAGAATACATACTATCAACAATCAAATCAATGAAGAATCAGAGTCAAACCAAAAACCAACAAATGCAACAAATAAAGCCAAAGCTTATTTAGAAGAGTGATGTCTTCAATCAGTGACAAAACAGTGGTAAAGAAAGAAGCAAAGGAACTTCCTGGGGTGGGAAGCTTCACATTTGGGTGGTGAAGAATGTGGTACCACCCAAAATGCGAAGCTTCCCACCCCAGGATGTTCCTTTGCTTACCACAGAAATGTGGTACCTCTTGTACATTCCCATCATTCATACCTAAATTCATATATTATGGAATTATTTAGTTATCATAAATCTAAGCTATTTACGCTAACCGACTTCTTTAAATTCCACTTGGTAATGCAGCAATAGCCACGAAACTTGTACAATAATGGTGTAGTATGTTTTCATGACCTGCCCTGATATTGTACTGCTGAAATTTCTGAACCGTCTTCAAGGGTAACCTCATACAGAATGTATTAGAATGATCTATTCTAGAAAGTATTAAGACATGCCTGATCATGGCTATGCCTCCCCATCCAGAAAAGAGCACAGTTGATACACCAAGTAACTGAAAACACTTATGACCACCTTAAGTGCCACCATTTGGACCTTCAGGAATAATAAGTCCACAGATGCTCCAAAACTGCAAACATGATCTTTCAAGGGGAAT